GTGCTGGAGGCCGCGGCATGACGCCCGGGCGTTGTCTCGCCCTATCTGCCATCTTTAATAACCCGCCGAGGAGCAGATAACGCGGCCGCATCGCGCCAGGCGCTGCCTCGACCCAGGCGCTGGGGAAGCCCGACTCTAATCACAGACGCCGCCAATATCCTGTGAGCCGAGACAGATGGGAACAGAAGATTTCAGGCAGCGGGGCCTGTGGGCCCCAGGCAGGTGGGGCTCCGCCAGCCGGTTACTCCTTTAGCCATGCGAGCTGCGCCGTGCCTTTGCGTGGCCGGAGGCACCCCAGGGCAGCGAGTGCTGGTGCTGGGGACGGGGATCCTGGTCGCTTTGCAAGCTGGGCCTGGCCGTCTGCCCCGGGCTCGCCTGCGTGTTGAAAATGAGGAGGGGACGAGTGGCTGTGAGCCGGGCAGGCTGTTCTGGGCACCGCTGCTCACGGGCTGGAGACAGTAGCACCTAGACGCCATTAGAACCATGGCAGACCAAAGTGCATCCCCCAGTCTGCCCCGGAGAGGCAGGCAGGGGAGTTGGCTGGGTGGTGAAGGAACGTGGGCCTGGCCAGACACGTGCCCAAGGCTGGCTCCGGGGCAGTGCCAGCCCCCTTGCTGTGCTAGGCTCTGTCCGTTACCCGCTGTGGGCTCACAGTGAGGGGCTGGCGGAGGGTGTCAGCAATGGACGGGTCTCGGCTGGGCTGGCATGTTTACACCCCGCAGAGAGGTGTGCGGGCGCTCACAGCACAGCACAGGCCGGGGCAGGCCAGTGGCTGCAGGCCTGGCCCCAGAGGAGAGGGGCCCCCGCAGCCTGTTCCCCATGTGCTGCCCCCCCCCAGGCGCTCAGAGGCCCGGTCTGTCTCTGCCCCTGCAGTACGGCCTGAAGAAGAAAGAGGAGAAGGAGGCGGAGGAGAAGGCGGCGATGGAGCAGCCGTGCGAGGGCAGCCTGACGCGCCCCAAGAAAGCCATCCCGGCGGGCTGCGGGGACGACGACGACGAGGAGGAGGAAAGCATCCTGGACACGGTGCTCAAGTACCTGCCCGGGCCCCTCCAGGACATGTTCAAGAAGTAACAGCCCCGGGCCGCCCCCCCGGGCCCGCCCCTACACACCGGGGCGCACTGGGCTGGGGGGGGTTTCATTTCTTTTATTTCATTTGATTTTTGTTCCAACTCAGTTTCGAAGGGAAGATCCCAGATGTGTCCCCTGTGCCCAGAACCCCTCGCTGCTCCAGTGGGGCGGACGAGGCAACCAGACCAAAAACCACCCCCCGCCTGCTGAGCTCCGGGCAGCCGGAGCCCCAGGCCGGGCACTGCCAGGAGCCCTGGGCTCCCCCTTCCTCCCTCGCCCCTCAGCCGTACGGAGTCGGAGTTCTGTTGTGCCAAAGTGCCGGCCGGCTGCTTGGCACATCCCCCCGGGCGTGGGGGGCGAACTGGGACCAAATTCACTGCAGTAACCTCACGTCGGGCGGAGGGTGGGGCAGACGGCAGGGAAAGGCAGGGCTCTGCCCACTCTCCATGCCCCCTCCCTGCCCTTCACTAACTTCAGACATTCCTCAGTCCCACGCTGTCTGCCTGCTGCCAGGGGTTAGGGACGTGCGGGCAGCAGGAGAGCACCCGCAGGCTGGGGGCTGTGCCCCCCATGCCCCCTGACCCTGCCTGGAAGCAGCTCACGGAGCAGCCCACGCTCTCCAGCTGGCAGGCGTAGGTGTCCTGCCGGGCCAGGTTCCAGGGGCTGGCACGGAGGAGACATGGTGGGCTACCGGGCTGGCTCCCAGCGGCGCCGCCCCACGGCTCTGCCCCCCACTGCACTGCCCATTTCTGTTGCCTTTTGCTTGGGCTTCGGGAAGGGGCTGCTGGGTCCGGCCCCTCCGCTGGTGCTGGGCGGCCACACGCTGCCCCTCACCTGCACAGCAAGCACCGGGGATGGAGCAGGGGCTGCGGGACACAGAGGGACGCGTGGACTCCCCAGATAGCCCTGCCCCGGGGCAGCGAGGAACTTGTGGGGGCTAGGGGCGGCTGGAAGGAAAGACAAAGCCTTCCTCACCCCTGTGCCCCCAACCCCTCCGTGGCCCCGGGCACAACCCCAGCCATCCCTGTCCCCTGCACAGCCCAGCCGGGGGCGGGGGGGCATCCCTGGCCGAGCTCGGCCCTTGGGGGGTCAAGCCGGGCACCCTTTGCCATAGTCAGGACCCTGCCCGTTTAAAAAACAAGGGGCAGAGCTGGGCCCAAGGAACGGGGGCTTCCCACCTGCCCTCCCAGCCCTGCTGCACGGCGGGTGGGGGGAGGTCTGGGTCTGGGGACAATCCTGGCACGTTGCCAGAGGGGTTTAACGTGGGGCCTGAGCCCAGAGGGCGGACCCAGCACTTAGCCCTCCTGGCGCCCCCTACTGAGCAATTCCCATTATGGCAGGGCCGCCGGGGGTGGGGGGGTCCCGCTCAGCCCACTTCCCACCCTGGCGCTCGCCCACATTCCTGCTATGCCCATCGCTATGGTATCTGGGCACCAAAGCCCTTCCCCAGCCACCCTCAGGCATCCGTGCCCGCTGACACCCCCCGAGCCTTGCAGGAGGAACCCGTCCTTATGCAGCGCTCAGCTGGTATCTCTGGGCCCCGCTCCTCCCCTGCATGGCTCCAGGGAGCCCCCCCACCAACACCCGTGAAAAGCTGCCCTGGCTCGTCCCTCCACTGCAGCCCCAGCCCCCGCCAGGCAGAGCGAGGTGGCTGAGAGCTGCCCGCCCCCCCGAAGTGCTGGCTCCCCTCCTGCCCTGTTGAGGAGAGGGTGGATTGTCCCCCGAGGTGGGTTCAGAGGCCCGGGGCTTGTCTCCTGTTTCCCTGAGGGGTTTCTTTGCTTGGGGGGGGGTCCTGATTGCATCCCAGGGTTCCCATTTTCCAGGGGTTTTGTTTTTGCGTGCGGGTTGAGTTTGAGAGAAGCCACGAAGTCTCCCTCCGCATCTGTGTCCTTCTCCGATAGTTAAAGCCATATCAGTTAGACTGCAATACTTCAACGCACTCCAGCGAGCCGCACCGCCACGCTCCGCACCTGTGCCGAGGAGCAGACCCAGGCGGGATCCCCCCGACCCCCCAACGTCCACGTCTCAGGCCACCCCGTTGGCCCGTGTGTGTTTCTGCATTAGTGTTTGTGTAACAGGGTAAACACCCCAACCCTCTCATCCTGTCTGCTAGTCACTGCACCAGATGGTCACCACATGGCCCAGGGGACCCCAGTGCCAGGCAGGGTAACGTGGGGTGGCCAGGGGCCCAGGACTAGGAGGGGCGGGCACTGCGTGGGGCGATGGCATCCAGGGCTGACAAGAGCAGGGGAACGGGGGGACAATGGGGCCGGGGGCCTGAGGTCAGGCAGGGGGGTGACGTCTCTGTGTAAACAAAGTGAACTGGGAGGGGGTGGGGCTGCAGTGACCATGTGGTCCCAGGACCTTCCCCCCCCATGTTGTGTGATGGGCCTGCCCATCACGCGTTGTGCAGCGAAGCACCGTGCATTGTGTTTTCCCCGCATGCCCGCAAGGAGGGAGGGTGGGAGTCACCTGCTGCGCTGCCCAGGGCCCCCCCCCCCCCCAGCTCATTTCACCTGCTTCCAGTGGCTGACGCTCCATGGCTGAATGGCTGATGTCTGCAAACTGCAATAAACACAAACTCTACCATGGGGCAAAGGGCTGATAAGCCAGACCCGGCTCCCCCCGGGGTGGCCTGCGTTTGGTTTATACTTTTACCACTAGACCGAGAGGTCTGCGACCCTCTGCAGAGGAGGGGGGCTGGAGCCGGCAGCACGTCTGCCTGCCCCTGGGGTCCTGCTGGCCTACGCAGCTGCTCTTCACAGCTTGGTGAGACGGAGCCGGTCAGCAGCTCACCGGTGTGTGCACCAAAGGCCAAGTCCCTTCGTCTAGGGTGGGTACGTGAGGACCCCCCCGCTCCCCAAAGGACACAGCAGCGGGGTTTCTCCTGGTTGTGCCCCTAGGGCGTTTCAAAGGGGCTCAAGTCTTGTCACAGGCTTTTCCTCCCCACCTGGAAACGGACAGGAGAGACGCGCCAATCTTGTGTGTGTGAGTGTGTTTGTGGCTTTGAGTGCAGGTGCGAATGTGTGTACAAATAGGGTCGTCTTGGTGCATTATCGCATGCAGGCGGCCCATACCGCGTGCTGTTTGCAGTAGGCATGCGTTGGTGTGACACCGTGTGTGTGTGTGCGTGCGTGTGCCCGGCTGGCTGGGTGACTGTGGGTGGCTGTATGCATGCGCACGCTTTGCTTGTGTTCCTGCTCATTGGCCGGGTGCAGGGCGTGCCCTGGGGCCTGATGGCCAGCAGCGCAGCCCCGATACTCCAGCTAGCCACGTGCGTCCCCAGGAGCGGCCCTGCCCAGGGCGGCTCCGGCTCTCGTCTGCTAGCAGCGCGACCAGCCCTGTGGCTGAGCCCGTCGCACGTGCTCTTCGTGGGGAATGTAAAGCCCTGCACACTAGCCCATCAGACTGCTTGAGCCGTTCTTCCCTGTTCAGCCCCCTGGGCTTCCACAGCCACAGCATTGCCCTGATGGTGCTGCCCAGCGCGCCCCAGAACCCAGCTCATCTGACATAAGGGGGGGACAGGCCCCACCAGCTGGGGAGGGCTCCGGGGAGCACACTGCATGCAGAGCACCAGGGAGGAGGGCTCCTTCAGCTGATGGATGTGCGACCCTGCAGTGACCCCCCCCAGAATACACCCCCCCTCTTCATCCACCAACCCCCCCTCAGCCGCCAGCTTCTCAGCAGAAACTCATGGGGCACAGAAGGGCCCCAGCTGTTCCCTGCTCGCACCCCCCTGAGAAGTGCTCCTGGGACAGGGGCCGGCCCAGGCAGGGGTCCCTCGCCAGCCATGTGGTGACCATCCCACTCCAACTAGTCTTCGAAGAAATAATAAAATAAAGAAATTTGTACATTGCCCTGCGTCCGCTCCGAGTGTGCTGCGGCCCCAGGCTGGGACAGCCCCAGCACAGATCAGTATGTCCAGCACCTCCACTGCCGGGGGCACCAAGGGCTCCCAGCATTCTCCCCTGGACCCGGACGGGAGCTGCCTGGCCGAAGGGGCCACAAGGCTGGGCAAGGTAGGGTAGCAGGACAGGGAGCAAAGCAGAGCTGGGGGACTCCAGCCTGACCAGCTCCAGCATGGGCGGGATTGGGGGTGGGGGCCAAAGGGCCGACTACAGGGCTGAGGCAGGTGGTGGCTGAGGCCTGGCACTCTCATCACAGGGCTCCACCTAGGGAGGGACTGGGACAGTGAGGCAGGGGCAGAGGGACTGGCCGGGGAGAAAGAGCTGCTCTCTCCTGGCATAGGCTGACAGTCTGGGGAAGTGGCGGGGGCGTTGGCACCACTGCCCACGGCTCTGGGACAGCTGCCCGCCGGGCCCTGCAGCGCACCCATATGCTGACCAGCTGGTGGGACATGCAGGCACAGATCCTGTAAACTGCTGTGGTTAGAGCTGGGAGCTATTGGCCTGCACACAGGGCAGGCAGCCAGGGACCCGGACCTGTGCTCCTGGCTCTGACAACGCCTCCCCCGTGACCTTGAGCAAGTCACCTTTGGCCTCCCTGTCTCCATCTGCAATATAGAGCGACTCTGGCCTGGCGCATGAGGAGCAAAGCAGCCCCTGCAGTGAATGGCCCCAGCTAGGCACAAGGGGCCAGATTGCTGAAGGTGTTTAGGTGCCTAGCGGTGCAGTTGGCCAGCTAATGCCCCGAGCTGGGTGTGTGAGTCCAGGTGATGGGGCCATGAACCTGCCTGCACATGCAAATTGCCTTCTTAAAGGTAGCAAAAAATGCAGCTAGGAGCTAGGCCCCTCTGAAAACTATACCCAGGCACCCGACTCCCCGTGGGGGAAAGAGGGGGCAGGGGAGGGCGAGGAGAGGGGCTGGCGGAGTTTCCATTGGAAGTTCAGCACTTAGGAAAATCCCACCAGCGGCATCTTTAGGCACCTAACTACGGTTACAGCCCTGCCCCGAGCACTCTGCACACACCAGCAGGTGCACGGCCGCTCAGGCGTGGACGTCAGCTGGCCTCGGGGCATTGCCCCTAACTCCCAGGGCCCGCAGCATTGCTGCCAGCTACGCACGCATGGGCTCCTGCACGCCAAATTTCACAGGCAACTCTGGGGGAGGCTTTTGTTTTTCCAGCATTCGTGGCCCTGCCCTTTGGGATGCCTCTGCCCCACGGGACTCCCCCATCTCAGGGGGTCAGAGCCCGCCACAGCGGGACGCCTGCACTGGAACAAAAGCCTCTGCTCGGCTGCGGCTGGCCCAGGTCAACTGACTCAGGCTCATGGGGCTAAAAATTGCTGTGTGGCCATTTGGGCTACGCTGAAGCCCACGCTCTGGTACCCGCCCCCAGCGCAGAGTCCCAGAGCTCGGCCTCAGGCCCAAGCCGTGCCAGCTGCAGTGTAGAGGCTGGGCCCGGGGGATTCCCCCTTGTCCCCACCCCACACCAGCACAGTCCCCCATTCGTACTTGCTCTGCCGTGCCAAGCAGCGCGGTGGGGCTGGTAGCTCTGCCCAGGAGCTGCGACCTGCTGCACCCTCAGGCTCTTCGAGAGCAGATGGTTCCGAGCCTCCTGGGCTGCTCGGCTCAGTGAACTTGGCCAAGCAGAGCACAACCTGCCCGCGCTCAGCCCCGGCCTGCAGCAAGCTGCTCCTGGCATTCTCCATCCCTGCAAGCCACTGCCGGGCTCA